AATTAGGGTTGCGTTGGGCCTTGGGCCTAAGATCAGTTATAATCTGATTAGATAGAGGATCTTGTCTGGATCGAGATCTCCTGAGATCAGTTATGATCTATTTAGGTGCCGAGCTGACGTCACGTAGCGCATGTTCGAGATTATCTTGTGCTATGGTGCCGAGCTCGGAGCTCGGCTTGGCAGTACGGATAGTACACTAGTTATACAAAAAAATCAAAAATTGTAAAATTTTGTTACATACACTCATATAATACTATTTTTAACTATTAATATTTTTTTAAAAAAAAATTATTGAAATAGAATTTAGAAATAAAAATAAAATGATAAATTAAAAAAAGTTAAGAAAAGCCTCTTAAATATACTTTTATTGAAAAAAAAAACTATAAAAGAATACTCATATAAATTCATATAAGAGTTAGAGCATCTAATAAGAGTTGAGTTGTTAATGAGTTTTTTAACAAGAAAATGATATTTTGATATGTGACATGTGATTTTGAATTTCTTTAAATTAAACCTAATTAATTATTGTTTAACATTTGTATGTTAACATAACAAAGATAACATGATATAGTAAAGAAAGAGAAAACACATTTGTAAATTAAGCAATTTTTTTGTTAAAATCTTGCATTAATATAAAAATTAAATAAATTATTTAAAATTCAAGTGAGATATATAAATCCACGTGGGTTGCTTATTTTTATATGTTATTAGAATACCTAACTGAATATGCTAAGTTAATAATTCAATTCATTACAAATCATTTGCATCAAAAGTTTTATATATATCAAATATCCACGATAAGAAAATTATTATATAGTGACATATAATGACATAATACGTGTTAATAAAAATTACTTTTATTCACATAATAAATATAATATATATTGGTATATTATTAAAAAATATGGTATAAATTGCAATGACACATAAAATATGTTGTTAAATTTTATTTAAAATTAACACTAAAATTGTAAGTAGTTATATGTCAAAAAGATATATACTTACATTATTGTATCTATAGTGACATTTTTTATATGTCACTATATGTAACATTTCTTGTAATGATCTATTGATATAATTAAAATAATACAATATTTGATTTTCATAATCAATGTTATTAACACTAAAAAAAATATTAATCACTAAATATTACTGAATCACGGCACAGAAAAAAAGTCTAACAAATTGCACTCCAACAATTGTAATCTATGGTTTATTTTTTAAACACGTTTTACTTTTAGCATTATAAAATAATTAAGGTCAAAGCTTCTGGAGTTTTAAAAGGAAAATAAAATGTTGTGCATGCTCCAAAGGCATGGCAACGGGACGGGACGGGTACGGTTTTCATGATACCCGTTCTCGTTCCCGCGACTGAAACCTATACCCGTTCCCGTCTCCATACCCGGCGGGTATGGAATTTTTATCTCATCTCCGTCTCCGTCGGGTATCGGGTATACCCGTACCCGTGCTCGTTAATTTTTTTTTTTTACAATTTTTTTCCAACTTATCTTTATATTATATTACAATGATAATTGGGTTGTTTGTCTATCTTATATTTTAATCAAGAGACTTCTTAATAATTAAACAATTACAAATATTTCACATCATAATAAATAACTACACATAATTAAAATCTTACAAATTAAACAACCACAAATGTTGAGTAATGTCACAATTAAACAACCACAATGTTGAGTTCAAATAACAAAATAAATTAAAACTTCTCAAATAAAAATTAAAATTCATCTTGCAAGTGGAAAATAAATATATAAAAGAGGTACTGAGAGTGGGAAAAATAAGCCAGCAATGTAAAACAGTAAAACTCAATAGGCCTATAAATAAAATCATGAGATAGAAATTAGTGGGCTGGTAACTGTGATGTACACAACATATAGGGAAAAAGCATAAATGTGTGAATCAGACCTACAACAGATAAGGGAGCAGAAAACAAGTTTTGGTAGTTCAAACCAAACCATTTTAAGTAATATGGATTGATTTAGTTTTAGAAAAAAAACAGGTTGGATATTTTAAATTGGATTGCTTGAAACTGAATTGTTTTTATAATCTAAACCAACAGAAATTATGTGTGAATCAACAGAAATTCCTGGCCTCTCCATCATAACAGGACTTAGGGTGGGCAAGCTGTGCAACTTGGTGGCAGATTGGCAGTGTGACAGTGCCACAATTGACCACTCCGAACAGAACTAGTGCCCAAAAGATAATTGGCCAGACTATAAAGTTGCTTGATACAAAACATTGGGTTCACGTACAGGTCTGAAATAATACAACCATTTTCACCTCCTTTCTAGACAAACGAATCACATAAAAATGTTTTGATCACACTTACAATATGGATTAAAAAAAACCATCCAAAAATTATTTTGTTCCAAATAGCAACAAATACCAAATAAGGAAATACCAGATCGTAGTCTAAACTTTCCCATACTGCTTGTCTCAAAATAGTTTGTTGTTATGTAAGAAATGAGCAAAGGCTTCATAATTTAAAACATGAAAAGTCTAACCAAGCATAAAACAAAAGGTGGCATATGAAAAAAATAGCTTATAATTGAAGACTAGATATTATGCGAATGATGACAACGACAAAAAAAAAAAAAAAAAAAAAAAAAAAAAAAAAAAAAAAAAAAAGCTTACACAATAAGTTCTTTAACTAAAAGGAATAATATCTCTATAGCAAAAGTGAGTCCATGAAGGTAATAAATCTGAGAGAAGTCTCCAACTACATATCAGCACCTTTAATCAAAATGAATAAAGGGGAATTTCCACTCTTTTTAAAGATGGCCGGAAATGACAAGCAGCTGAGAGAAGTACCTCTCACCACAAAGGCTATTACGTGCCTTACTACTTTGATTGAGCGACGGCGAGTGGACTGCGAGGAAAGGAAGTGTTTGCGTGGACGGCGAGTGGACTGCGAGCGACGGCGAGTGGACTGCGTGGCTGGTCCGGTTGCTCCGTGGCTGGAGTGCTTGGTCGTCGAACGGAGTTTGAAAATTGAAACCCTAAAAGTGTTTGCGTTGCTCTTGTTCAGCATGCGTGACTCTTTACATTTTAAAACAAAATGTTAATTTTTTAAAAATAAAATTAACCGGGAACGGGTATTTAACCTGGGACGGGGACGGGGACGGGGACGGGGACGGGGACGGGGACGAGGACGGGAACGGGACGGATAAGTATATACCTGTACCCATACCTGTACCCGGTCAAAATGGATATTTCTCGTCAAAGTCAGGACGGGTTCACAAGTACGGGTTTATTTGTCATTCCTAACTCCAACCGAAAACTAACAACATATGAATTACGACGACGTCTCACCAACTTGGGAGTTGGGAGTTGGGAGCCAGCCCCAATCATTCATGACATCGCCTTGTGATTTCATTATATGAATAAAAATTAAAGGATCTGTTCTTGGATTTTTTTATTATTCATAAAAAAAAATATAAGGACAACAATAAAATTTGAAATTAAGATTTTCTACATAAAATTCTGATATTCCGCCACTGAGACTCCGATAATTCTAAAATCTTAATATATGTGTTATTTAAAGAAATAATTATATTTATTTTAGGGAAAAACTAAAAGTAAATATTTTAGTAAATTAAAAAAAAACATGCATTTAGATTCTCATTACACACACGTAGAGACTTTAATAAAATTTATAAAATACAAAATTTGCAAATCTAAGCGTTATATCATGTAATATAATTTTGATTAAATAAAAATGATATTATGAGTAGTAAAGGAAATTTATATGGGTTAAAAATGATATTGTATATGTATTAGTGAAGTGATGTAAAAAAAGAAGTGGGTTCTTGAGACCTTTTCATATGACTTGCTCCTCCTCATGCACCTACTTCCCCTGCACCTACCGCTAGCACCTACCTTCTCCCACCCCATTCCCCCAACAATATACCTTTTTTCTATTCTGCCTCTTCTTTTTTTCTCTTCTGTCCTCCCCCACAGGCCACAACCCCCACAACCAAAATAATTTCTCAAACACATATTACATTTATTTTACAACGCCTGTAAACACTTGCTTCAAATTGCAAAAAATTTAAAATATAAATTACGTCACTTTCTATATTGCTAAATCAATGTACAAAAACGATAATAAAATATATTTTTGCATTAATACTATGTTAAAATAAAAGTTATCAATAAAGTGGAATATTTGCATCAATAAAATTCATTATTTATAATAAAAAAATTATTAAACGAGTAAGTTAAATAGGACTTACTCATTCATCCTCATTTTCCCTCACTCCTCCTCTTTATCTATTTTTCTTTTTGGTGGCGTACCTCTATTTTTTTATGCCAATACTTTTTAATAGACATTTATGAATATAATTTTATTTAAACATATTTCAAGTCAATAATTATTTATATACATATTTAATAATAATAATATCTATTGCAAATATTTATATGCATATATAATAATATATACTGTTATAATTTATATATATATATATAAATTAAAAAATGGTACTGTAAAAATTATAAATCTAATACTAGTACAACATCGCACATTATTATTATACTAGTTTTTTTTACAAGCATTATTACACTAGTTAAATAATATAAATAAGAAATTTCTCCATGGATGAGACACCTGTGAACTTTTCCTCATACAATAAACGTACTATATATAGATAGGTATTACATTTTTTGTACCGAATTAAGAAATTTCCTATACCGACTGGGATAAAACTTTAAAATAGTTGAATTTTTTTTTATCTTATGGATTATGGTGATCGAGTTGGTCGAAAGGGCCTTCAGAGCCTTCACAGTAGTTTATTGTTTTATTTCGTTAGTTCGTTTTGATACCTTGTGGCTTGTGTACGTGATTGAAACAAAAAAACAAATTCTATAATTCTATATATAGGAAATTTTGAGGGTAAGTAATCTTAGTTTAAAAAAAAAACAAAAGGTAGGCAGCATGAGTTGTCTTGTCGTGTTGATTTCCTAGTATAACAAGTTTCAGGCTGGGTATCCTTGTTGAAAAAGAACTGGCAGAATGTGAGTAGTTCACTCATAATATGTAGTAAAAACTTCTGCTGCTTTTACATTTTTTTTTTCTGTGCTTTACTAGTTATATGTTCTTGTAGATATTGGTGTAATTAAAAAGTTCAGCTATGTAGTCATGAATATTAAATGTGCACGGATCAAATCCATGTTTATCATAGGTTTTATCTTATATGCTTATGTAGATGATGCTGTCATATGTCCTTGTTTCTTTTTCTTACATTAAACCTGTCCAATATGCCCTTAATTTCCATTCCTAGTGTGACTGTGATCTCACCTAATGTGATTTCAAATCAAAGAATGGAAGTTTGTCAAATGATGTTATTGGCATGTGTTTAATTTTTTGCTTTAGATGATGTACCTGTCTGATGGGCATACTAAGTCTTCTAGTAGTCCAAAGGCCGAACGAAAACTCTGATCCGACACGTGGATGAAGGGATTGGTACCTGCAAAAGGCACTCCAACGCTCAAGTCAGGACAAGCACAAATATCTAGGGTAATTAATGAACAGTGACGTTACCTTTTGACCTGAGCTATTTATACTGACATTTATGGGCCCTGGACCCCATGGGCCCTGCAACATATTTACCGTATTAGGTAATACACTTTAATCGGCTAATTAATCCCTAATCTCTGATTAAGAATACCAAGTGATGATAGGCCGATCCAGGTGGCCGATTGACGTTCGGCTACCTGGTCCTGCCATTCGGTGGCCGATAGGGTGGTGGCCAAACCCTCCTACCTGTTCACTGCCCCCCAGCCTTGAAGGAAGGTGAAGCTTTCTTTAAGGGTAAAACGGAGACAGTTACTAGGGTAAGGCGAACGGTTGCGTACTTGTAACCGTTGGATCTCGGGAATCGAACGGTTACGTATTTTCAAAACTTGAATTTTCCCGCCCGTTTTTTGAGCCTATAAATAACAGCGTGGTAGGGCCATTCACACGTATTGCTCTCAACCGAATTGTGGTAGCCGAAGGTCTCTGAAGCCGATCCAACTAATGATTGTGATCCTTTGAAAGAATTGGTAAGTTGTTATCGCCATGGTTAATACTTCTACAAGCTCATCGGTCGGCAGCTCCCAGTCGTCGTCGTCCGAGGGATCCTTGTCTAGTGCTTCAAGTCGTCCAAGTGCGGTTCGGTCTCCAGTTGACGTCGAAAGACTGGATGATGATGTTTCTTCTTCAGGGGAAACTTCTACCAGCGGGAGTGAAGAGATTCAAGAGACGACGAAACGCGTATCGAATCGGCAGCGATACGGTCCATCCGATGTGTCGGGTTACGAGTGGGTCAATGGGGAGGTAACCTCCTACTACTCGCGTTATCGAGACACGGGCATGATCACCAACCTGCTGGATTACACCAAATGCTTGAACTTTGACGCCACTGAGGCTCCTTATCCGATTGGAGTTCGGTCATGCCGGAATAACGCCTTTCCGAATCCTGACATGGTCTGTCTTGATCAAAGTGGAGCGAAGATGGAGTCGTTCTATATGTACGATTGCCTCCTTCGAGATCTCAAGGTCAAGCTGCCGTTTGACGAATTTACTATGGGGTGTTGAGAGTGCTAAACGTTGCCCCTACCCAATTGCACCCGAATAGCTGGGCGCAATTGCAAGGTTTCAAACACCTGTGTAAGTGTATTGACATTAAGCCCTCTCCACTCCTCTTTCTGTATTTCTACTCGTCTCGGCCTTCTGTCTTGACGAAGTGGCACTCCTTAAGCCGAGTGGGGGATCGACTACTACTGGATAGTTTCACTTCATCATATAAAAACTTCAAGGCTGGATTTTTCCGAGTGACTATCAGGCCTAATGGACGACGCTTTTTCTTTGACAAGGACGAGAAGCCTCTATTTCCACTATATTGGACTTGTACCCCTCGGCCTTACGACGTAGTGCCGAAAAAGATGCTGACGACCGAAGAGCGGGAGGACTTGAAGTTATTACTTCGTCTTCCTCGGTGCTTGCCAACTAGGTCTTTAATTAACTTGGTTGAATCTTCACGTTGGTGGAATGACCTGATAGGTATGTTATCTGTCCTATTTCGACTGTCAATTAAATTCCTATTGATGTTTACCTAACCCTTTTTGCAGGAATCATGGTTACCAGCGGTGCCGACGAGCTGAATATTCGCAACTTGCTTGCTGCTCGGGCGAAGCAAGTCAGACAGGTCGGGGGTGTAGGCACTTCGGAAGTTGCACGCACCCCCCGACCAGATAATGATGACCGAGCGCCTCCTTCTCCCGAACGCAAAAAAAAGAAGGGAAAAAAGGGAAAGGAGACCAGTCGAGAACGTCCTAAAAGGAAAGGCGCTGAGGAAAATCCAGAACGCGCTAAGAAGGCCAAGTCAGTGCCCGAGGCATCACCCAATCGGACTGTGATTGTGGTGCCACCTCAGCTAATGTCTCGTGCCTTTCTTGGTGACGATGTGTCGACCGAGACGATGATTCGGCCTGACATTGTGTCTCCTTTCGGGCAGGAGTTCTTGGCTAGCCTGGATGTAAGAGCCAAGTGGAGACTTTACTGCGAGGTGCAAACTCGCTCATTGGCCCTAGCTCATCACCTAGCCATGGAACCCATCGACGAGGTGGTGCACCTGAAACAAAGTTTAGAGGAGGCCGAGAGGACCGCCGCCGAAGCTATCGCGGTTAATGAAGAAGTGGCGGCCAAAAATCGGGATCTGGTGGCCGAGTTGGATGCTGTTCGGCGAGACAATGATACTTTTCGCCTGAACCTTCAAAAAGCAGCTAATGAAGAGCGACGCCGACTGGAGGAGGCTCAGGCCGAGTACAACAGCCTAAAGGAGCAGGCGAAAGAGAAGATTGCTGCTCAACATGAAGTTGGGTTTAAACACGCTGTTCGGCAGGCCAAGCACTTCGACCAATTTGAAGAGGGCTTCGAGTTTGATATGACCCAAGATTTTTACCAAGGGTCATTGATGTCTTTTACTGATATGCCCGAAGGGGCAAATCCCGATGGGGAAGAGCCAGAGGATGCCCCCCATGCAGAAGATGTCGAAACCTCTTCTGAGGAAGACACCATGGATGAGGGAAACCCGGAACCCGAGAATGAGGCCGAAGGAAATCCCGAAACTGTCATTCAAGCCGATGCAGCCCGAACTCCGGAAGAGTAGTTTAGTGTTTGATAGGTCTTATGTAACTTTTAACTTTTGTTTGAACAAGTGTAGACCGGGGGCCGATAGAGCCTCCCTTTTTAGAATGCAATGATATTGTCTCTTTTTGACTTGTGTCTTTAATACGTCTTCTTCATTCGAAGTACTTGTCAAATTTGCACGTAAGACTTAAGTAATAAGTAGCCGAATCGGTATTATTGTTTGTAAAAATGAAAAAACACTTGTATTCTGGAGCAAGACCGAGTGGAGTCCCTCGGAATTTCCTTGTCTTGCTAGCAATTCCGAGTGGAGGTTACTCGGAATTGCTTGTCTTGCTAGCAAAACCGAGTGGAGTCACTCGGAATTGCCTTGCTTTTTGAGCAAGACCGAGTGGAGTCACTCGGAATTGCTCTGCTTTTGGAGCAAGACCGAGTGGAGGTCACTCGGACTTGCCTTGTCTTGCTGGCAAAACCGAGTAGAGGTCACTCAGAATTGCCTTGTTTTTTAGGCAAGACCGAATGGAGGTCACTCGAACTTGCATTGTCTTGCTGGCAAAACCGAGTAGAGGTCACTCAGAATTGCCTTGTCTTACTAGCAAAACCGAGTGGAGTCACTCGGTATTGCCTTGCTTTTTGAGCAAGACCGAGTGGAGTCACTCGGAATTGCCTTGTCTTACTAGCAAAACCGAGTAGAGGTCACTCAGAATTGCCTTGTCTTACTAGCAAAACCGAGTAGAGGTCACTCAGAATTGCCTTGTCTTACTAGCAAAACCGAGTAGAGGTCACTCAGAATTGCCTTGGTTTTTAGGCAAGACCGAATGGAAGTCACTCGGACTTGCCTTGTCTTGCTGGCAAAACCGAGTAGAGGTCACTCGGAATTGCCTTGTTTTTTAGGCAAGACCGAATGGAGGTCACTCGGACTTGCATTGTCTTGCTGGCAAAATCGAGTAGAGGTCACTCGGAATTGCCTTGTCTTGCTAGCAAAACTGAGTGGAGTCACTCGGTATTGCCTTGCTTTTTGAGCAAGACCGAGTGGAGTCACTCGAAATTGCTCTGTTTTTTGAGCAAGACCGAGTGGAGGTCACTCGGAATTGCATTGTCTTGCTGGTAAAACCGAGTAGAGGTCACTCGAAATTGCCTTGTCTTGCTAGCAAAACCGAGTAGAGGTTACTTGGAATTGCCTTGTCTTGCTAGCAAAACTGAGTGGAGGTCACTCGGAATTGATTAACTCGGGAGGGAAACCTCTTTTATTGATTGTGAAGGTACATCCTTAGCCGAGTTGACCAACTCGGGAGGGAAACCTTTTTTGATGATTGTCAAGGTACATCCTTAGCCGAGTTGACCAACTCGGGAGGGAAACCTTTTTTGATGATTGTGAAGGTACATCCTTAGCCGAGTTGACCAACTCGGGAGGGAAACCTTTTTTGATGATTGTGAAGGTACATCCTTAGCCGAGTTGACCAACTCGGGAGGGAAACCTTTTTTGATGATTGTGAAGGTACATCCTTAGCCGAGTTGACCAACTCGGGAGGGAAACCTTTTTATATTTTGGAACAAGTAGAAGAGTAAGAATAACCATGACATGAATTGTCTTTCATTGATGTGTGTGCCTCGTAAAAACTTTGTCGGCCAAAACCCCTTTTCACTTTTTTAGAAGGGGAGAAAAGACCGATCAAGGAAAAGAGTGCACTTTGGAATTACATTGTCATTATATTACAACATCAACTATAGTATGTTTTCAAATGCGACGCGTTCCACGTTCTTGGGATGATCTTGCCCGAGAGCTCTTTAAGCTTATCTGCTCCATTGTCGAGGCTGTGTCGGACTCGAAATGGGCCATCCCAATTTGCCGCCAGCTTGCCTTCTCGCGGATTGCGTCTTGCCG